CAGCTTCACACACATCTTCACACACAGCTTCCCCACAGTCTTCACACCAGTCTTTACACCAGTTTTAACACTTTCAAATTTTCACAAATCTTTAAAACATCTTCTAACAGTCTTCAACACAGTCTTTTAAAAGTCTTCAACCCCAGTTTCAACCAGTCTTCAACAGTCTTCAACACAGTCTTCACACCAGTTTCACACACAGTCTTCAACACAGTCTTTCCCCAAGTCTTCAAACAAGTCTTCTACACAGTCTTCATACACATCTTCATCAAGTCTTCAACAATCTTCACAACCCACTCTTCAACACAGTCTTCACACCGTTTTTCAACCAGTCTTTACCAATTTTTAACACAGTCTTACACAAAATTTCACAACACTTCCCCCCTTTTCACATCTTCAACACAGTCTTTACACACATTTTCAAAAATCTTCCCTAAATCTCAACACATCTTTAACCAGTCTTCAACACAGTCTTCAACAAGTCTTAACACGTCTTTACACAAGTCTTCACACACATCTTCAACACAGTCTTCACACAGTCTTCACACACTCTTCACACACATTTCACCCCCAGCTTATCACAGTTTTCAACACAGTCTTCCACACAGTCTTCAACACATCTTCACCCACATCTTAACACGTCTTACAAAGTTTAACACATCTTCTACACGTTTATACAGTCTTCACAACATCTTCACACACCCCAAAAGCTTAACACATTTCCAAAACCCGTCTTCCCCACAGTCTTTAACACATTTTACACAGTTTCAACACAGTCTTCAACACAGTTTCCCCACAGTTTCTCACAGTTTATACACAGTCTTCCCCAGTCTTCAACACAGTCTTCACGACAGTCTTCAACACAGTTTCACACACAGTCTTTAAAACGCTTCAACCCCGTTTAACCAGTCTTCACACACAGTCTTTAACACAGTCTTTAACACCCGTTTTCAAACCCCAGTCTTCACAACAGTCTTCAAACACAGTCTTCCAAAACGTCTTCATCACATCTTCAACACAGCTTCAACACATCTTCATAACAGTCTTCAACACAGTTTAACACAGTCTTCAACACACTTCAACCAGCCCTTTAACACAGTCTTCTACACAGTCTTCCACACACCAGTTTAACACACCAACCTTTCCCCAAGTCTTCAAACCCCAGTTTCATACACAGCTTCAACACATTTCAACACAGTTTCACACAGTCTTAACAAAAAAGGGGGGGGGGGGGGGGGGGGGGGGGGGGGTTTTTAAACTTAACCCGTTTAAAAGTTTTAAAAAAAAGGGTTTTAAAACAGTTTTTGTTTTAAAAACTTAAAAAGTTTTAAAGTTCAAACGTTTCAAAGTTCTTACACAAGTTTTCAAAATTTTTAAAAGTTTTAAACGTTAAAAGTCTTTTCCCAAAACTTCAACGTTTTCCCCCCTTTTAACAAAGTTTAAAAAATTTTTAAAAGTTTTTTTTTTTCCCCCCGTTTTTTTAAAAAAAGTTTATAAATTTCAAAAAATTTTTTAAAATTTAAAAAATTTAAAATTTAAAAATTTTATAATTTTAACCAGTCCACCAGTTTCCCACAAAGTTTTCCCGTTTTTAAAGTTTCCAAAAGTTTTAACAAGCTTAAAATCCTTTCAAAAAAAAACTTAAAAAATTTATACCAATCACCAATTTTTAAAAAGTTTCCCCTTTAAAAAGTTATTAAGTTTTAAAAAAAATTTGGGAAAAGGGAAAAAAAAAAGGGAAAAGGGGGAAAAGGGGAAAAAGGGGGGGGGAAAAAAAAAAAAAAAAAGGGGGTTTTTTAAAACAATTTAAAAGTTTAATTCAAAACCGTTTAAAATTTTAAAAAATTTTTTTTTTTTTTAAAAGTTTTTTTTTTAAAAGTTTTAAAAAATTTTTTTTTTTTTTTTTAAAATTAAAATTTTTTTTTTTTTTTTATAAAATTTTTTTTGGGGTTTTTTAAAAATTTTATTTTTGGTTTAAAATTTTTTTTGTTAAAAATTTTTTTTATTTTTAAAAAAAAAGGGGGGTTTTTTTTTTTAAAAATTTTTTTTGTTTTTTTTTAAATTTTTTGTTTAAAATTTAAAAAATTTTTTTTTTTAGAAGGGGGGGGGGGGGGGGAAAAAAAAGGGGGGGGAAAAAAAGAAATTTTTGGGGGAGGGGAAAAAAGGGGGGGGGGGAAGGGTGGGGAAAAATTAAAAAGGGGTTTTTGGGGTTTTGTGGGGGGTTGGTTTTGGTTGTTTTGTTAGGAAAATGGGGTTGGGTTTTGGGGAAAATTTTTTTTGGGTGTTGGTTGGGGATAAATTTTTTGGGGTTTTTTTGGGGGAAAGTGTTTTTTTTTTGGGGGTTTTTTTTGAAAAAATTTTTTTAAATGTGGTTTTGGGGGGTTGGATATAATTTTGGTTGTTGTTTTTTTTATGATAATGTTTTTTTTGTTTTTTTTAGGGTTTTTTTTTTTGTGTTTGGTGGGTTTTTGGGTTTAAAATGAATTTTTTTTTTGTTTTGGGGTGGGGAAAGGGGGTTTTTTTTTTTTTAATTTTTTTTTTTTTTTTTAATTTTTTTTTTTTTTTTTTTTTTTTTTTTTTAAAAAATTAAAATTTTTTTTTTTTTTTTTTTTTTTTTTTTTTTTGGTTTTTTTTGGGGGGTTTTTTTTTTTTAATAATTTTGGGGGTTTTTGTTAAAATTTTTTTTTTTTTTGGGGGTTTTTTTTTAAAAATATTTTTTTTTTTGGGGGTTTTTATAAAATTTTTTGGGGGGAGTAAATTTTTTTTTTTTTTGGGAATTTTGTGGTTTTGGGGTTTTTTTTTGGAAATTTTTTTTTTTGGGGGTTTTTTTTTTTGGGGTTTTGTTTTTTGAGAAAGGGGGGGGAGAAGAAAGGGGGGGTTTTTGGGGGGAGAAAGGGGGGGGGAAGGGGGGGGGGGGAAGGGGGGGGGATAAGTTTTGGGGGGGGGTTATATTTAAAATTTTTTTTTGGGGGTTTTTTAAAAATTTTTGGTTTTTGGGGGGTTTTGTTTTTGTTGTTTTTAAATTGTTGGGTTTTTTTTTTTTTTGTTGTTGTTTTTTGTTTTTTTGTTTTGTTTGTTTTGTTGGGAAAATTTTGTTGTTGTTGTTGTTGTGTTGTTGTTGTTTGTTGTGAATTAAATTTTTTTGTTGTTTTTTTTGTTTTGTTTGGGGTTGTTTTTTTTGTTGTTTTTGTTTGGGTTTTTTGTTTTTGGGGTTTTGGTTTTTGTTGGTTTTTTTTTGTTGTTTTGTTTTTGGTTTTTGGTTTTTTTTTTGTTTTGGTTTTGTTGTTTGTTTTGGTGTTGAAATTTTTTTTTGTTGTTTTTGGGGTTTGGTTTTTTTGTGTTTTTTGTTTTGTTGTTTGTTGTTGTTGTGTTGTTTTTGGGTTTTGGTTTTTTTGTTTTGTTTTTGTGGATTTTTTGTTGTTTGGGTTTTTTTGTTTTGGTTGTTGTTGTTGTTGTTGTTGGTTTTTTTGGTTTTTGTTTTTTTTTGTTGTTGTTGTTGGGGTTTTTGAAATAATGTTGGTTTTTTTTTTGTTGTTTTTGTTGGGTTTGTGTTTTTGTGTTGTTTTGTGTTAATGTTTTGGTTTTGTTTGGTTTGTTTTGTTGGTTTGTTTTTGGGGGGTTTTTTTTTTTGGTGTTTTGATGTAAATGTTTTTGTTTTGTTGTTGTTGTGGGGTATTTTTTTTGTTTTGTTTTGTTTTTGTTTTTTTTTTTGTTTTTTGTTGTTTTTGGGGTTTTTTTTTTTTTTAGTTTTTGTTTTGGGTTTTTTTTTTTGTTTTGTTGTTTAAAAAAATTTTGTGTTTTTTTTTTTTTTTGGTTTATAAATTTTTTTTTTTGTTTTAAAATTTTTTTGGGTTTTTTTTTTTTTTTTTTAAAGTTTTTTCGGGGGGTTTTTTGGGTTTTTTTAAAAAGTTTTTTTTTTTGGGGTTTTTTTTTTTTTTAAGCCCTTTTTTTTTTTTTTTTTTTAAAAACCCCTTTTTTTTTTTATTTTTTAAAAGTTTGTTTTTTTAAAAAAATTTTTTTTTTTTTTTTAAAAAAAAAAAAAAAAAAAAAAAAAATTTAAGTTTTGTTTTGGGTTTTTAAAATTTAAATTTTTTTTTCCCTTTTAAAATTTTTTAAAATTTATTTTTTTTTGTTTTGTTTAAAAGTTTTGGGTTTTGTTTAAAATTTTTAAAATTTGGTTTTTTTAAAATAAAGTTTTTTTTTTTGTTTAAAATTTTTTTTTTTTAAAAAAGTTTTTTAAAAATTTAAAAAGTTTCCCGTTTTTTTTTTTTTTTAAAATTAAAAGCTTTTTTTTTTTTTTTAAAATTTATAAAATTTTTTTTGTTTTTAAAATTAAAATTTCTTTTTTTAAATTTTTTTTAAAAATTTAAATTTTTCCCGTTTTTGTTTTTTTTTAAAATTTTGGGGAAAAATTTTTTTGGGGTTAAAAAGTTTTTTTTTTTCAAAATTTTTAAATTTCCCCTTTTTTTTTTTTTTAAAATTTAAATTTTTCCCCTTTTTTTTAAAAAAATTTAAAAGTTTTTTTTTAAACTTTTCTTTTGTTTAAAATTTTTCTTTTGTTTTCAAAATTTTTTAAAAAATTTTTTTGGGGATAATTTTTTTTTTTTAAAATTTTTAATTTGTTTCCCTTTAAACCCCTTTAAAAATTTCCCCCTTTTTTTTTTTAAAGTTTTTTTTGGGTTTTTTTGTTTCCCCTTTAAATTTTTTTAAATTTTAAATTTTTTTTTTTGTTTAAAAGTTTCCCCGTTTATAAATTTTTTAAAAAATTTTCCCCGTTTCCCTTTTTTTGGTTTAAAATTTTGCTTTGGTTTTTGTTTAAAAAACCCTTTTTTTGTTTTTATCTTCACCACAGTCTTCATACACAGTCTTCACACACAGTCTTCACACACAGTCTTCACACACAGTCTTCATACACAGTCTTCACACACAGTCTTCACACACAGTCTTCACACACAGTCTTCACACACAGTCTTCAACAAAGGTTATCTAATCAAAAGATGATCTTTTCTGTTGTTTATTACATAAAATTATTTGCAAAGCGCTGAAACAACAGTAAATGGACAGGACAAGTGATATGAATTTCACAGAAATACAGTGATGTAGATTATTTAAATTAAGTGATTTGCTTATATATGAGAGACAAGACGGGTCTTCATGCACAGCATGAAGGAACAAGAGATACTTAGAGACAGAACTCAGGGAAGACTCTCCCGCATGGGCAATCCTCCCCAGGACTATCTCTCCCTCGATTCCCTGAAGTTTAGTTTACCGGCCATAGCCTCCATGACCACCTCCGAACCCACCGCCGCCAAATCCACCGCCCCCGAAGCCGCCACCTCCAAAGCCGCCGCCTCCAAATCCACGGCCGCCGTAGCCACCACCTCCAAAACCACCGCCTCCAAAGCCGCCGCCTCCAAAACCACGGCCGCCGTAGCCACCACCTCCAAAACCACCGCCTCCAAAGCCACCGCCACCAAAACCACCGCCTCCATAGCCGCCACCATAGACGGGACGAGCAACGAAGCCGCCACGTTTCTTGCCAAACTTCTTACCGCCGCCACCGAAGCCAAATTTTTTCTTCTTGCCGGGGTCGGGGCTGGCGAAGACAGCAGTCAGGGCCAGCAGAAACACCAGCAGCAGCCACGTCTGTAGCAAGAAAAAATTTTGATTACATTACTCCTTTTGGCGAGGCCTGGTCATGGACCGGGCAGCGGGGGCGTTGACCCCCGAAACACCCTCCAGTCACGCAGGTATACCCTCCAGGTATCCAGGTATACCCTCCAGGTATCCAGGTATACCCTCCAGGTACCCAGGTATACCCTCCAGGTACCCAGGTATACCCTCCAGGTATCCGAGTATATCCTCCAGGTACCCAAGTATACCCTCCAAGTACCCAGGTATACCCTCATCCATGATACTCACAGCTTGTTCCTTCTGAAAAATTTATGCATCTGCCTCATACTTCATTCATTCATTTACTTTTAATTACATCTTTTCCTTTCCTCCTATTCACGCATTATCATAATTCTCCAGTCTATCCTAATTCGCAGTTGCCAAATTACTACAATATACTGCAACTCTCCCCTCGACACACTGTCACTCTTGAACACTCTCTTGCACTTTCCGTGTAACTTCTTCGTGAACTAAGTGGTAATATACGACACTAACAGTTAACCATATAATTCACAGACATTAATTATCATAGGGAACAAACATGCTTTCATTACAGCTTTATCCACGGAAGCTTTAACTACTTTGAACACAAAGAACAAAGTGTATCAAAAAGCTTTCAGTCTTTTCTCGTTCTCAGTGAAGGTTCGTCAGGTCTGTGTAATACTCGCCATACCACGGGCGGGGTTAGAACCCGCGATCAGAGAGTCACTCTCGGTAATCAACCTGATTGACCGTGCAGTACATAATAATTAATGTAATTTTGTATAATGTTACAGTAATTGGTTTGATATATAACTAAAAGAAAAAATAATGTGGTGAAATAAGAACAGAAATACTGACGTGTGATTTCTGACGTTATAAAACACTTGCTAATGAATTATAATGAAACCTTCAAGCCAAAGGTGTAATAACAATCAATAATAAACAAGGGGATAAGAGAAGAAGAAAATACATATATATGTCGTGACGAATAGGAAAAACTTGTGATTTTGGCTTAAATAGCAATGCTCTTTTTGCCGAATAAGGCAAGCGAAAATTTGTGTATGCAATAATTTCGCCAAAATCATTCTGAACCTAACGGAAAAAAATATTTCATTGTTTCAATTTATTATTAATTCATTGTAAACTTATCTAGAATATAATTATTTGGATTAGGCTAAATTAAATTGGGCTTGTTATAATAAGGTTTTATAAGTTTTCTAAGGTTCTTTTGGTACAAAATTATTAATTTTTACATTAACATAAATGAAAAAAAAATATCTTTAAACGTAGTGAAAATTTTAGAAAGGACTTAACTTACAATGAGTTTTTGCTAATTAACCAGTCTTACCTATTCGGCACGACACACACACACACACACACACACACACACACACACACACACAACACACACACCACACACACACACACACACATACATATAATATATATATATTATATATATATATATATATATATATATATATATATGTCAAACCGCCTGCGTTCTTTCATTACGCTGTGGTGGTTACAATAAAAGAGATCAGTGTTCATTAGGTAATGTTAACAGACTCCTCTGCTGCGACGTCAGTTACAGGTTTTTTATAGCTCCCTTCCCCACCACTAACAGCAAGAGTGCTTTATCCAGATTGCCTCATCAGATAATGTAAAGCCATCACCTCGCGGCTGAATGACTCTGTTCACCATCCTTTAGCACCGTAACAATGGCATGGGTTCGAATCCCCGCTGCAGCTTGTAAGCGTATCTCCCTCTCAACTTAATACTCAGGCTCTTAAAATCCAGAAGTTAACTCACAAACTTCATACTGGAGTCGAGGTGAGGGTAGCAACGCTTGCTGGCTGCAGTCTGGAGTCCTGCATGATATATACCATCAAAACAGACTCCAGACGCTTCCAGAAGCAGTGTGTCAACAAGTGCGTCTTGCAGGAGCTAGTGCCTACAGGTGTCACCCTTACCAACGCTCACACTGTGTCACTTCCTGCTTCTGGAAGAGAGAGCCTTCAGCAGGGCCGCCGTGAGGTGGATCAACCTTGACCTGTGATGGCACCAGTCATCACAAAAGACTTTCTTCTGGTAAACACGAAGTGGAAGACTTCCATACATTTTCTGTGTCTTCCATCCGGTCAGCTGGAATGTTTGTTAAGCATAAAAACAATTTATCGGTAAATAATACGTATATTATTTAAATACTATTTATTTATTATACTGCGAAAAATAATCACATTAGCCATATTTTAACTACACGTTTATACATGTTTCAGATTAATTAAAAACATGTTCATTATTTGTAAAAACACTAGGAAAATGTTTACATCAGGTGGAATTAGCATCGCATATTGTTTCCGTCTGATAAAGTGATCTTGACACTGTAACTCACTCGAACGATTTCACATTCTACTTAATAAGACACATGAGCACATGTCTTGTTCATTAACGTGTCAGTGTTATATACTGGTATACAGAGTTACAGTCTTCTACTGACTGTGACATTAACTTAATAAAGTTCACGGAAAACTAAATATTACTTACAAACATTCCATATAAATTACAAAGTAAAGAGCAACTCAAAAACATCCATAGCCAGCAACACTCTGCAATACAATCCAGTAAAACTACATCACAGCCTTCATTGCACTTCGGTCAACGAATACTACATCACCGTCTACAACATATTGCATTACTATCCAAAAAAGTAAACCACAGTCTACAGCACTCTGCGCTACGTCACAGTCTACAGCACTCTGCGCTACGTCACAGTCTACAGCACTCTGCGCTACGTCACAGTCTACAGCACTCTGCGCTACGTCACAGTCTACAGCACTCTGCGCTACGTCACAGTCTACAGCACTCTGCGCTACGTCACAGTCTACAGCACTCTGCGCTACGTCACAGTCTACAGCACTCTGCGCTACGTCACAGTCTACAGCACTCTGCGCTACGTCACAGTCTACAGCACTCTGCGCTACGTCACAGTCTACAGCAGTCTGCGCTACGTCACAGTCTACAGCACTCTGCGCTACGTCACAGTCTACAGCACTCTGCGCTACGTCACAGTCTACAGCACTCTGCACTACGTCACAGTCTGCAGCACTCTGCGCTACGTCACAGTCTACAGCACTCTGCACTACGTCACAGTCTACAGCACTCTGCGCTACGTCACAGTCTACAGCACTCTGCACTACGTCACAGTCTACAGCACTCTGCGCTACGTCACAGTCTACAGTACTCTGCGCTACGTCACAGTCTACAGCACTCTGCGCTACGTCACAGTCTACAGCACTCTGCACTACGTCACAGTCTACAGCACTCTGCGCTACGTCACAGTCTACAGCACTCTGCACTACGTCACAGTCTACAGCACTCTGCGCTACGTCACAGTCTACAACACTCTGCGCTACGTCACAGTCTGCAGCACTCTGCGCTACGTCACGGTCTACAGCACTCTGCACTACGTCACAGTCTGCAGCACTCTGCACTACGTCACAGTCTACAGCACTCTGCGCTACGTCACAGTCTGCAGCACTCTGCGCTACGTCACAGTCTACAGCACTCTGCACTACGTCACAGTCTACAGCACTCCCGCGCTACGTCACAGTCTACAGCACTCTGCGCTACGTCACAGTCTACAGCAGTCTGCGCTACGTCACAGTCTACAGCACTCTGCGCTACGTCACAGTCTACAGCACTCTGCGCTACGTCACAGTCTACAGCACTCTGCGCTACGTCACAGTCTACAGCAGTCTGAGTTACACTCAGTGTAAATATCTCAGTCTACAATATTCTGTACTACATCACAGTCTACAGCACTCTGCTATACACTCAACGACAACTACGTCACAGTCTACAACACTGCTATACACTCAACGACAACTACGTCACAGTCTACAACACTGCTATACACTCAACGACAACTACGTCACAGTCTACAACACTGCTATACACTCAAAGACAACTACGTCACAGTCTACAACACTGCTATACACTCAACGACAACTACGTCACAGTCTACGAAATACGCACAAGAGACGACAAAAAAAATTCCATCGCTCATAAAAAAAAATTGTTCAGTAAAAAACAAAAGCTAAATAAAACTTCATAAAACCGTATCAGAGCCACAAAAAAAATAAAAATCTAAGCAAAAAAAAGAACAACACCGAAGCCAAAATAATATCCAACGAAAACCGCATCACTGGCCATTAAAACCAGTGATGCGGTCGTTAGAAAAACCATGGTCTACTGCAGTGAAAAAAAACCTTGCACTACAGTCCTTAAAAAAATTATGCACTACAGTAGTTAAAAAAATAGCTGTACACACCTAGGTGTTAAAAATTCAGCACTACAGTCGTTAAAAAACCTTGAAGAACAGTCGTAAAAAACCTTGAACTACAGTCGTTAAAAAACCTTGAAGAACAGTCGTAAAAAACCTTGAACTACAGTCGTTAAAAAACCTTAAACAACAGTCGTTAAATAACCATGAAGAACAGTCGTTAAAAAACCTTGAACTACAGTCGTTAAAAAACCTTGAACAAAAATCGTTAAAAAAACTTGAAAAACAGTCGTTAAAAAACCTTGAACTACAGTCGTTAAAAAACCCTGAACAACAATCGTTAAAAAAACCTTGAAAAACAATTGTTAAAAAACCTTGAACAACAGTCGTTATAAAACCTTGAACTACAGTCGTTAAAAAACCTTGAACAACGGTCGTTAAAAACCTTGAACTACAGTCGTTAAAAAACCTTGAACTACAGTCGTTAAAAAACCTTGAACAACAGTCGTTATAAAACCTTGAACAACAGTCGTTAAAAAACCTTGAGCAACAGTCGTTTAAAAACTATGAACAACAGTCGTTAAAAACCTTCAACTACAGTCGTTGAAAAAACCTTGATCTACGGTCGTTAAGAAACAGCTCTGCAGGTGATAAGGAACAAAGTTTTTAGAGTTTCTCAGAAAAAACACAAAAGTCACTAAAAATCGCAGAGAACAGCCAATAAAACCTGAGCACACTCACACAGATAGTCTTGACACCTGAGACGAATCATGAGTACAAAATTCAGCGCGAATATACTCTGTATACAGAACGAATATACCCTGTATACAACACGAATATACTCTACATACAGGATGAATATACCCTGTATACAGCAGGAATATATTTTGCATACAGCAATAATATACCCTGTATCCTACACTGTAGGCTACAACAAGCGTAGCACTACAGCACTGTACGCTACAGTAAGATTAGTGCTACAACACTGTAGGCTACAGCAATAATAGCACTACAGCATTGTAGTCTACAGCAAGAGAAGCACTGCAGGCTACAGCAAGAATAACACTACAACACTGTAGGCTACAGCAAGAATAGTGCTACAGCTACAGCTTGACAACAGTATACTGCAGTGGGAGAGATGACAAGAAATGGGTTTTAAAAGATGTAATTAAATGGATTATGGGGATGGATAGCCGTTAATGGGATACTTAACACTGACTGATAACAATTAATGGGGGTTAATGGCACGTATGGATAGCACGGAGCGACAACAGTTAATCATGGATAAGAGGGGTGGGTAAAAGTTAATGGGTTGAATAACACGGACGGATAACAGAAACGGTTAACATGAATGGAGAAAATTTAATGGGTTGGCTAACTCGGATAGATAACAGTTAATGGGTTGGATAACAATCATGCATACCACTAAATGGGATGGATAAAACAGATGGATAAGAATTAATGAGAGGGATAAAACTGATGGATATCAGTTAATGGGATGGCTAAAACATTATGGATATCAGTTAATGGGACAGATAGTTTGGATATGTAACACTAAAAGAAATTAAAGAGATGCATAACAAGGATAAATATCAGTTAATGGGATGGATAACTGTAGTGTTAATGGGTTCGATAACTGGGGTGTTAATGGGATGGATTACTGGGGTGTTAATCTGATGTATAACTGGGATGTTAATGGGTTGGATAACTGTGGTGTTAATGGGATGGGTTACTGGGGTGTTAATGGGATGTATAACTTGGATGTTAATGGGTTGGATAACTGGGGTGTTAATGGGATGGATAAATGGGGTGTCAATGAGTTGGATAACTGGGGTGTTACTGGAATGGATAACGATTAAGAGTATGAATAACAGTTAAAGGGAGGGATAACGAAAATATTAATGAGATGGATAACAAGGGTGTTCATGGGAGGACTAAGAGGGATATTAATGAGATGGTTATGACTTAAAGAATGGTTAATAGGATAATATTTTCATGGATAACAGTGATAATAATACGAGGGACGAAAGAGAAGAATAATGGAAAACGGGATGGGTAACAGATAATGGGATGGATAACAAATAATGGGGTGGATAACAGATAATGGAGCAGAAAATAGATAATGGGATGGATAACAGAAAATGGGATGGACAACAGATAATGGGGTGGATAACGTATAATGGAATGGATAACACAGAGAAGGATAAAGGACAATGGGATGGATAACAAAGATGGATAACACAAGAACGACTTTAACCTCACATGGGACGAACAATTTTCAAATAATTATTACTCTAATATTCTGATTTAAACGTTCAGCGTTAAACGTTCTGCTTTAAACAGTCCAGCTTGTAACTTTGTACTTTAACTGTTCTTATTTCAACGTTCTCCTTTAAACGTTCTACCAATAAACTTGAAGAGGAACCGAGCAAAACGTTTCCTCTTCATTTCACACGTTTAACTGTGACGTTTATGTTGAAAATACAATTTTAACCAAGTATATGTAGCGTACTGCGAAGAATATGTGTATATGTTGTATAAATTTCACTGCAAAATAGCCACTTTGTGCGTATATGCTATGCTTTTTATGGCTGGGAAATGGTA